ATCCTACAGTGCCACACCAGGTCTCCTGAAATATGGTTAGGGTGTTTATGATATTACTACAGAATTTTAATTCCATTCCCTGTTTATGCAAATAACTAACAAAATGCTGATAGTTTACTTTTGTATAATTTCATTTTCTGATCTCAAAAAGCAGTAAGCATGGGCAAAATCCTGAACATCATGGTTGCCTAATAGTGTACATCCCTAAGAATACATGCTCTATTTGTTTACTGACAATTTTGCAAAGTGATTAGCTTTTCATAACTCTCCAAGGAAATACACTAATATTTACTATACCCATTTTGCACACGAAATAACGGAGTCATCTTTGAATCAAATTAATTATGCTTAATCAAGGAATTTGACCCATAATTTCAAGTCACTTCCAGATATAAACCTGATTAAGTATTTTCTTCTAGGTTATTTCTAATTGTGAGATGACCTCAAAGTTCTCACTAATATAGTATATGTAAGAAGTTAAGTCTTCTAAAATATATAAAATCTTCAAACTAAATATTGAGAGACATTTTACTGTAAATTAAACTTCGATAACAAGATCTTTTGTGCAATCTGGAGTCCATCGATTGGTTCGACCAGTATTTGGTCTAATCAAGTTCTAACATATCTCCCAAATCTAAACGTTGATGTTGTTAAATGCCATCCGTCGAGTGGTTTCAACTCATAGTGAGCCTGTATATGGTTTCCGAGGAGCAGCTGGTGAGCTTGAACCGCCGACCTTGCTGTCCAGCGCATTAACCTGCAGTGATAAACTTAATTGATTGTATTCCAAAAAAAAAACAAAAACACAAAAAACACTACAGAAGTTCTCCTGAGTAGTTTTTAAAATGGTTTTTCTGTTTACTAAAAGGAATGTAAAGTTCATAAAAGCTTATGCTTCTAAAAGAAACCTCTTGTTTTGAACCAAATTATATTTTCATTGTAAAAGAGGCTTTCAGAACCAGTTTGAAATGTGAGATCATTTAGTTTCCTTAGTATTTTTAAACAAAAGCAAAAAGAGCACTTAAAGCAATGTCTATGAAATGTGGGAAAGGAGGCCGGCTGGCACAGAGAGCTATTAACCACAAGGTGGGTGGTTAGACCTTCTAGTTGCTCCATGAGGCAGACTGTTTGCTCCTGCAAAGACTTAGACTCAGAGCAGTGTGGAGCAGCTCTACTCTGCCCTACAGGGTTGCTGTGAGTTGGAACCAAAGGCAGTGGGGTATTTTGTCTTTTTGTTTTTGGCTTAGACATATGGAAATGTTTTTTTCAGAATAATTTAAAAACACATTGTTGGAGACTGGTAACTCACTTTAGCTTTTCATCCCGAGTGTTTATCAATCAGGGATGTGTGTGAACATAGTCATAGGAAGTCAACTTTTACAATTTTATTTAGAAATAATGGAATCATGAAATTCAGTCCTTAGTCTCAGAATCATTCGATGGCTCCAAAATGAAACAAATCACATGATAAAATTAAGACAATCAAAAAAATCGAGCACTGATATAATTTCATGATTGCTAAAGATATATTCAAAAAGCCTATGACTTAAATATAAAGTATCTTTCTTAAAGCATCATCATGACTTCTAAGCACAGTTAATCTAATAGCCTTCCTCTAGACCCTTCACATTAAGACTCTTGCAGCCAGTGAGCACGCTGGTAGATTCTGTAAGTCATGTGACTAATGTGTAAAAAACAGTTTGATTCCTGACTTCAAGTCAGGATAGCAGTGAATCTGAGACAACATAGCGTGGTGGTGAAGAATGTGAAATCTGGAAATTAATTTAGTCACTATGCAATCTGTTGTTGTTAAGTGCAGTAGAGTCTCTTCTGACTTATAGCAACCCTATATAGGGTTTTTGAGGAGCAGCTTTGGCTAGCAGTCCAGTGCTTATCCTACAGTGTCATTCCAGGACTCTACCTTAGGTGAGTTAATTAAACTTTCTGTCCTCAGTCTTCCATCTGGAAAGTGGGTTAGAGCTGTGTATGGCACATTTCCATAGTGACCCTTTAGGACAAAGTAGAACCTCTCTATAAGGTTTCCATGGCTAAATCGTACAGAAGCAGAGGAGCAGCTGGTGGGTTTGAACCACTGACCTTTCATTTCAGTTAGTTAACAGCTGAGCTCTTAACCATTTGCACCAGCACTCCTTCAGAAGCTAATTTATCACAGTAATAAGATTATAGTTATCTTGAAGGGGGCATTTGTACTGAAGACAGACTGCATTTACAAGATGGAGTCCTAGTGTGGCTGTAGGATAAGCACTGGACTGCAACATCTGTTTGAGCTGCAAGGCTGATGGTTTACATTGCTTGGAAACCCTATACTTTGAGTCGGAACTAACTCGACGCTAATCAACAACAGATTAAAGCGATTGAAAGGAGATTTAGCAATACATCTCATGTTAGAAGAGCTACAGGTTTGGACAATAGAGCACTTCATTAAACCCTTGTCAAGATTTACTATGGTCAGTCTTTTGAAATTCAGTCTCACTAGTAGATAGCGTGGTGCTGTGGGTTAATGCGCCAGACTGCAAAGTCATTTGAACTGCAGGGCCACTGGTTCAAGCTCACCAGTCACTCCTCGGAAACCCTATACAGGGTTGCTATGGGTCAGAACCAACTCAATAGCACTTACCAACAACTAGATACAGGAGTCCTGGTGTGGTGCTGTAGGTAAAGCACTAGCCTGCTAACCCCAAGATCGGTGGTTCAAACCCACCAGTCACTCCTTGGAAACCCTATACAAGGTCGCTATGAGTTGGAACTGATTAGGCAGCACTTCGCAACACTAACTAATGGGAGTCCTGACGTGGCGCTGTAGGGTAAGCGCTGGCCTTCTAACCACAAGGTTGGTGGTTCAAACCCACAAGCCACTTCTCAGAAACCCTATACAGGGTCGCTATGAGTGGTAACGGACTTGATAGCACTTAATACACACACAACACACACTTTGGTCTGTATCATTTTCCTCAGTAAATACTGAACTATGGAATCTGTAAGGCAACATTTTGGGACAACAGGGAACATCCTTGGCACACAAGAGGCTGCTACAGTAATATCTATAGAACCGAAGACAAAGGGATGGGAAAGACATTAATTTTATTGTATCAAATTATAATAAAGTAACTTCCTTTGGAACAACAACAAAGATTAATTTACCAAGCTGTCAACCAAAACAGTTGTGTCAGAAAGTGACAGTATGGTGGGAAGAAAGATGTGAGACTAGAGAGTAAGGTCTTCTAAACACTTCTAAGATATGCTAGATAAAAATACTTTTAAACATTCCTAATGATTGTGGCACTGTAGGATAAGCACTGGACTGCTAACCACAAGTTCGGCAGTTAAACACACCAGCTGCTCCTTGGAAACCCACTTGCCACTTAACAACAGTGAACAAATAAGGCATGATACCAGAACATTTGATCATTTTGTTTTTTTAAAAAAGATTTAATGTCCTCAGGGGCACCAAGGTAAAATCAATCTACTAGCTTCCTTGAAACCAAACAAGATATAATTTAACTCAATGACCTGAAGTGCCAAACCAACATATGTACCAAGAAGAAACTTCCCTAAAATACTTGTCAATACAAATCTAAAATAATCTGACATAGCCATACTTCCGCTAAGTATTTAAAATGTGAATGTAGCATTGCATTCAACCTTGCTGCAAATTTGATTGTGTATCTATTGACCAGTTGTGCGTCTTAATTTATAAATTAACTTTCCTCCAAGTTAAACCCAACATAACATCACCAAAATCATCTTTATCACAAATGAAATGCTTAAAAACCATTACTGTTTGTTTTTTTTTTACAGGTTCATACTCCGTGATCACAAAAGCACAGGATTGATAGTGTTGGTAGATAGGGGTCTGCCAGATCCCAAATACTTCTTCAGAGCCTCATTCTGTCCACTGGGGGACAAAGGCCTCACCATGGTGCTGAGGGACAGCTTAGCTCCCTTATTCTCAGCGCTAGTTTCCTTACAACTTTTTATTGCTCTAAACTGCATGGGTAAGAGACAAAAGGCTTTTGTAGCCTGCTGTCCAAAGAACTCATTTGAGACAAAATTTATTTCACTGGTAACCCAGGCAGTGCTGGTCTCCTACTATAAAAATACAGAGAAAGTCATATTTTATTCCAATTTAGGACGATTTTCTCACTGATACTATGTCAACATTGCATCAATGGGCATTTAAATAGTAAAATGACTCACCATTTTACTTTAAAAACTTTCCAGTTTAATAAAAAAAGTCCATCCTCACAAAGCCATTGAAATTTCACCTATTATCATAATTGATCTTTGAAGTCTCCAAATTAGCAAGTTGGATACCCACTTGCAGCAAAAAACTATTCATTTTTTTTTTGCTGGGAAAATGACCACAAACACTAACATTTAGCAGCCTTTCCAACCTTGAATAAATTTTTATCATAAATTCTCCAGCTACATACAATGACTGAATTTCAAGCATAAGGATTAGTAAACAGATCTAAATCTTCTCCCTGTAAAATAGTTAGGTCAGCTGCTTTGTCCCAGCAAGTTTTCTGAGCTTTTCATTTCCCATGCAGAAACAGAAAGCGGATCCAGGTCTCTCTGCTCCATATATACATCTCAAATATGCCCTCTCAGATTGCAGAGTGAATTTCATTTTATCACCTGATTACTCTCCTGGTCAGCAGTATTTTAAAACTTGACATAAAATAGTGCTGACTGGCTCTAATATACCACATCATCTTGGGAGAAAAATCATGGACTGAAGAATTATTAAAAACTAAAGCTGTCCCCAGCACTGGGTCAGGCTATTAGTCTGAAGGGACAACTTTTTGTGTAACAAACAACTGTTTGGTGCACTGGTAGAACAATTGCTTTCCATTATTCCTTGTGATTCAATGAGTCAGACTTTTCAGCATCATTAGCATTTACAACATGATACTGCGGAGGTAGAGAGCGCGGTTAGCAAAGGCTTAGAAACAAAGACAACAATAGACTTTTTTAATTTTTAAAGAATTTTAATACAAACTTAATATAAACTATTTCAGTCCCTCTTAACATGTAAGACACTGACTCAAAATACTTTTATACCGTTTTTTTTTTCAAGTATTGCACAATATAGGTACAAAATTAATATTTACGATTACATTTTCTTCCATAATATATAGCAAAAATCTTTAAACCTTTAACAGAAAATACATTTTTTTTTGAAAAAGCAAATATTCGTACATTTTAATTCCACCACTAAAGGAATATCCTGTACACAATTTTAGAATAGTTGATGTCTGTAAGATGGATATTTTACAATTTCAGTAAAAAAAATACAACATGAAGCTGCTGCCGTCACAGATCACTGTAGTAAAAAGATAGAAATGCAATACCATGTCGTAGAAACAATATATATATCCTCTGATATTTTACAAACTTGGTACTAAATTAAATTATACAATTAGAAAAGACCAATAAACCCACTTATTAGTGCCAATTTTATATATATATATATATATATATATATATAAAACAAAATCAGCCATGTCCTTGCTATATCTTAAATACTGTAAGAGGCCGTATCTGAGAGTATACTTTAAAATATACAGTCAGTATAAAATAACTTTGTGCTTGGTTGGCAAATGAAAAATGATGCATGTTTTATTTTTGTAACCAAGCTTGAATGTATCCTTTACTATTAGCTTAAAAAAAAAACAAAACAAAAAAAACTCAAGGGGGTATGTAAAAAAAATCCCCTCGGCCGTGCATTTGAACTGATACGATACATTTTTCTTTTTTAGTTAGCCATAACAGGCTGGAATTGCTGGTTAGAATACTGCATGTTATTTAAACTAAAATTCAAGCCATCTACAAAAGACTTCTCGTTGAGGCCTCCATAGGCCGCAAACACGTCAAAGGCATTACTGTACTGGAGAGGACTGAGGTTAAGGGGGCTGTCACCTGGGAACATTCCATTGGTACTACTACCTTGACCCTGCATATTAGGAAAAATAAATTCCTTGGCATTAGGAGAAAGAGCAGAGGTTTTCTGCTGCTGCTGCTGCTGCTGCTGCTGCTGCTGCGGTGGTGGTGGCGGCGGCGGCGGCAGCGACGGCTGGGCTGGCTGCTGCTGTTGCTGCGGCTGGCTACCTAAGCCAAGCCCATACAGAGAGTGCACTGAGGAAGAAATGGCTTTCTGCTTCAAGAGGTCATTCACATTCAAGCCGAGGTTGATTGGAGAAGTGCGTGCAACCTTGTTGCTACGGCCACTATTCTTCATTTTGGTAGAGCCGAACTTGGTGGCAGCAAAAGTGGCAGTGGTAAAGGTTAAAGGCTGAGTGGACCGGGGCATGAAGGTAGGGCTTACAGCAGCAGAGTGACCAAAGGGAGGTGATGGAGAGCTGGACACTGATGAGGCTGGGTCACTGATGGGCATAAAAACCTGGGCCTCTGGGTTAAAGCTGTTTTTGATCTCCTTATCCAACTCACATCCATTTTCATTATTATCATCCACATAAAGCACCTTCACTGGTCCCTTTTCACCGATTTGGTAGGAAACTTCAAATGGGTCGATCCAAACACTAAGATCCTGTGGCAGGTTGCCTCGAACATCATCAATGTCCAAACCACTCTCTTTGGATGCTTGTTCAATCACGGGGTCCACTTTCTCCCCTATATGTATACATCTAAACCCTGATCCTTTGTATGGCTTTTCAGGATACCAGTGCCCTTCATATTTCTTCTTTAGAAGTCTTTCAAGCTCTTCACCAAAAATGTTGACACGTCTCCTGGGAAGCTTATTGTACAAATATGAAATAATAAAATTTAGTGCTACTTGGATTTCAAGCTGCATAGCTGCTATGCCACAAAGTTAGGTGTCTCAACTCCCCCACCAAAAAGTGTTCAGTTTGTGGCAGAGAAACAAATGTTCATTCAAAGTGCTGGTATTAGTCGATTATCCTTCAGCTTGAGGCTTGTTCCTTACAGAAAAACAAAACAAAACAAAAACAAACATGTCCAAATAAGATAAATGTTAAGTCCAAAGATCTTCTTTACCCCCCACCCTGAGTATTTTCACTTTTGAAAATGTCTAACAACTTAGAGAATATGAAAAATATAATCAGCATAAAATAAGGGAACATACAATAGGAATTATTTATTAAAGTTAAAAAATTTTTTAAAGCCCTACATTTGGTTTCTGTAGTTAAAAAAAAAAAAGAAAGAAATATATCTCCAGAATATGTCGAGTATTTCTTCTGATGTGGCACGGCAGGATCAGCACTGGACTGTGAACCAGTCAGTGAACCACAAGGTTGGAGGCTCAAACCCACCAGCTGCTCCTCAGAAACACTATACTGGGTTGCTATGAGGCGAAAACTACTTGAAGGCACTTAACAACAACATTCTGTGTGTATCTATGTGTATGTGGCAATTTTAGAAATTGGTCATAAATTTTTGGTTTCTGTTCATCAATTTAGAAGACCTATATTTCCACGCATTTTACATCTATAATTGAAATCTGCTTTATCATAAAATATTTAGAAATTTGATGGTAGGAAAATTCTTTTAATTTCTAAAATATATGATGCTAAAATTAAAGGTACTAAATATTAAATGAATTGTCATTCTAGTAAATGATCATTTTGAACCAAATAACCCTATAGAGTTGAAGTCTGAAAATAAATACTTAAGGCCACATAATGTAATAACCTAGCTTTTTCTTGGCTTTTTTCTTTCAAGGTGTATTTTTCTAAATCTGAAAATAGCTCTTTGGTAGCAAGTGTTAATAAAAACAACAATTAATTTCAAAACGTTATTGGTCACTCTGATTAAAGGACAAGGATTTGGAGTTTTATCCAGATTTTGAAAAACCACCTCCCCTCCCTTCACGATAAGAGAAACAGGCTTGTGTGATAAGTTCGACCTTTAAACGTTTGCTGGATCAGCACTGGGTGGGGATAAGAAAAGATCAAGGGCAAACAAGATATTTGCAAAAAGGATCTATTTGTACACGGAGGGTGACTTAAAGGTACATTTAAAAATTCAAGTCGGTATGAATCCATCTGTTCCATTTTCCATCTTCGTGGTGACAAAGGGCAAAGCAGCCCTGGCTGTCCCTAACTACAAACGCTTTCCAAGCCAAACAGCCTGAGTGCCGGCAAAGGCAAAGGCAAAGGCAAAGGCAGTCGACTCAGCCAAATGGCTCGGAGGGGCAGGAGAGCGAAATTGAGGCTGGGTGGAAGGTAGTTTTGGAGCAACGCCTTTCTTAAGGCAGGAGTGTGAAGAATTACATAAACAGCCAGTTGGGTCTCATTAGATTTCTGCTCACAGCCCTCGGAGCCCCAGCGCTACAGCAGTAACAGCAGAAGAAGGACGATGACTACGATCTCACTGGAGAGCGGACGCCCGTGGAAACCGGGGCGCCCCCCAAGCTCGGGCCGGGCCGCGGGCAGGTCGGGTCGCGGCCGCAGTGGGTCAGCGCTCCCCTCCCCCCGCGGTAACCTGACCCGCCGCTCCCCGCCCCCCAACCGAGCCTCCTGGGACCCGGCCAGACCCCGGGGAGCCCCGGCTCCCCGGCACCATTTTCGGCCTCGGCGGCGGCCACCCAAAGTCCCTGCGTTCCCCGAGAGCCCGTCGCTTCGCCCAAGAGCCCTAACTCCCGATTCCCCGGGCAGCCGTGCCCGGGTCACCCGCCCGGACCCCGGCTGGCCCAGCCCCGGCTCCTCGGCGCGCCGGTGTCCCTCGAAGCGGCCTCGGGCCGGGCCTCGGGTGCCCCTCCCCTCGGCGGCCCGGGCCGCGAAGCCGCCGTCCCGAGCCCCTGAGGCTCGACAACGCTGCAGGCCCTTCTCCAGCTGCCCCAGCCTTGATACTTACAAGATGCGTCGGGGCGGCTTCCACCACACACTCGGCCGCCGGCAGGGTAGAAGGGGCGGCAAGGCGGGGACGCGGGGAGGGTTGGGAGCGGCGAGCTGACAGGAGTGCAAGACGACGACCCCGGGCCGCGGAGGTCGGAGTCTGTGAGCTGACGTCTTTTGGTTCCGGGCAGCGGGGACGGAGTCAGGTGAGCGCGCTCACTTCTCAATACAGCCCGGTGCCCGGCCCAGCGTCCCCGTAATGCGAATACTCCGCGCCGGGCCAGAGCTTCGCTCTTTCTGCCGCGGCGCGCGCCCCGCCTCTCGTTTTATAGTCTCCTCCCTGCCCTCCCCACCGCCCCCCCGCCGCTCTAGTGGGGGCGCGCGCGCGCCCGCCTCGCGTCACACAGCTCCGGGCGGCGTAACCATTCCCCTCCCACCCCACCAGCTCTTGGACTCTCGCCGGCAGGCTCCGCCCCTGACCTGCCCCTCGATGCTATTGGCCAAGTCCCGCCTGCCCACGTTCTGACGGGCGACGGAGCGCCGGGATGGAGGAAAACCCCACCCTCGAGTTCCATAATGACCAATGAACAGACCGTTTTGAGTGTCTAGGGACGAGATTAAGCGAAACATTGGAACGTGATTGGGAGATAGACGTGTCAGTGAGGGCAAAGGGGAGGGGTGGGGCTGACACTAGGGCCCAGTTGAGAGCGCCCCAGAGAAGGGGGGAGGGGAGCAATGCAGGTGGCGTAGCAGTCTGGGGAAAAGGGGAGGAGAGTTCAAGGCCCCAAGCGGGAGGGGAGAGTTGACAAAAATTGCCCTATGCGAGTGGGGCTGTTTTCCGAGGAATATCCCACTCGACTAGCTACCGAGTCGGCCTCTAGTCCAGCTCATCGAAGTCTAGAGAAAAGGTGAACCGTGACTGGGACTCGTGCACCCGATTAATTGAATATCAATCGTCTCAAAGGCCTAGGCCAACTGCCACCCAGAGAGTGACAAGTGCAGAACCGAAGCTGCCGTGCTAGTCTGGGGGTGGGGAAAGGGACCACCCTCGCCACACCTCCCGCCCAGGTGACAGTTTAACTGCCTCCGCATTCCCACATCGGACCTTCCCGTGCGACCCGGCACCAATTTAGACAAATAAGTAGCTTAATACTGGAAGAAGAACCACGTTTTATTACACATATCCAGACCCCGGTCTCCGTGCCTAGGGTGTGGTGACACGATGCCAAATTGCGTACGTATCTATGCAACCGTGTATTTCAAGGCCCTGCATGAGCATCATAAACTCGGGGCCTACGAGTAAAGTGCGCCTAAGACGGTTTTCGGTTGAAATCCGTGCGGTAAACAGGGTGTGAAGAAAAAGGGGGCTCAAAGGGGAACGGGCATTCTGGAGGGTGCGCCTTTTTCACAACCTGCAGCGGAGAAACACGAAGTTACACGGCGAGTGGGACCCAGCGTCGCTCTCTGCTAAAAATACTACTCACAGATAGCAACGACGCCTGATTGGACACACTTCTCTCTAGCAGACAGGCGATTGGTTGTCTGGTATCCAGGCGACGGACGTCAAACTCCAACGGGGAAGGGGGGAGAGAAAGTCTCGGAGGGGAGGGAGTGATGGGACAGGGAGATAGAGAAGCAATGAATGAAACGCCCATTGCCTGGCCTTCCCCTTTCTCCTTTCTTCTGCACTCTGGGACGCTTCCTGGAAAAACACGAGTTGGGGCGTCGCCTTCCCCCTCGAAACTTAAAGAAAGAAAGTTAAACAGCAACTCTCCGAGGAGTGGGGTGTCTGCTGAACTGGCCGTGCACACCAGCAGTGCTCCTCCGGGGCTCTTAGTCCTAGAAGCTTGTCGCTTTGCAGACACAAAACCTGGATGTAACCTCCTCCTCCACGCAGATTGTCGTGCCCCTCTGCTTCCTTTTTACAAGGAACTGCACGGAAAAAGGAGACTTCTAATAGTGCTGATGGTGTGTGAGAAGGGAAGATGGCTTTATGGAACGGGCTGAGGGTGGGGAGTGGTAGGTACAGATTTCCTAAACACAAGCAGTATTTATAAAGAACTTAGAAGTTACTCAGTAATTCCTTCAATTCTGATTGTCCTATTTGGGATTTTAGGTGCCAGCGAAGAAGGGTGTAAATTAATTGTAAACCTGTACAGGAATTTTGAATTAAAAGGCTCCTTACTATGCATTGGAAATTATAATGTAAATTATTTAATCAGCATTTCCTTCTTTGCTGCTCATCTGTATTTTCTAGTTTTTCTCTGTTGTTGTTGTTGTTAGGTGCCGTCGACTCGGTTCCGACCCATAGCGATCTTGTACAGGGTTTCCTAAGAGCAGCTGGTGAGCCTGAACTGGCGATCTTGTGATTCAAACCCACCTTGCAGTCCAGCGCATTAACCCATAGCATCACACCAGGAGTCCAGTTTTTCTCTAGTAAGCATTAATTCCACTGTAATAAAAATGAGTTTTTAAGATTTTATAATTATTTGAGCACAGAAATTTCAAGAAAGTAGGATATTTTAGGAGTGTTTATGAAGAAAACACTGTATTTCTTGCTTTCCAGAACCACAATTTCTCTATTAGACAAATAATATTACAGTATAAATATCCAGAAATGCAGGACCATGTGTAGGGCCATGTGGCTTGATTTGTGATTTGGAAAATAAATGACTATAATTAGGCTTGGCTGAGATTTAACTTTCTAACTAAAGCTAGATGAATGGTAATTTTGTCACACTTATCTATACTTTTCAAGAATTCATTAAAGGGCAGGCACACATTTTTTTTCTATAATCCCAGCTTTAAAATATGAAAGCAGTATTGATCAAACATCAATAATAGTGTAGAATTTTGGTTGTTTATTTTATGAAGTTAAAATTCACATAACAAAATCTAACCCATTTGATATATCCACAATGGTGTACAACCATCACCTCTATCTTGTTGTTGTTGTTGTTGTTGTTAAGTATTGTTGAGTTGGTTTGACTCATAACAACCCTGTATAGGGTTTCTAAGGAGCGCCTGGTGAGTTTGAACCACCTACCTTGAGGTTGAAACACCTCTATCTAGTAACTAGAATTGTTAAATATGGAAGTAAATTGTCGAAAATTACTGAGTTACTACTGATCAGCCTACAATTATGAGACACACACACACAGAGGCCTCATGGTATATTGGTAAAAAGCGCTGAACTGCAGGGTTGGAAGATCCGAGTTTCACCTGTGGGTCTGTCAATTTTGGTTTCCTCACCTGTGAAAAGATTTGGATAGATATTCTCTAACATCTTGTTCAGTAAAAATTTTCAGACTGAAAAGTTGATGCCTTTAAAATAAATAATGTGGTTCTTTTTCAAATATAGTTTGCAAATGAAACACACTCCATGTCCTTTGAACTTTGCGATTCACAAGGTATAAAGTTTCCTTCATCCAAGTTCTGCACTTTCAAGGACCTCTCATATGGTTTATTACTATTTGACATTTACTTTGAAAATGTGTAGGGGAGTGGAGTGCTAAATGATTACTTCCATTTAGGAGACTAAAAGGAGGAATATCTAGGCTCCAAGTAGTCTCACAATCAACAAGTCTTCTCTGTGAGAAAGTTACACACACTGAAACCTCAGCCCTCTTTCACATCTTTGCAACCCACACAATTCCTGGTCGAAAGGAGAATTTCTTACAATAAAGATAATGTTTAGTAAACAAATAAATCCCAGTATCATTATATAATTTTCTTAAGTGCCCTGAATTGTTAACACATCCACACACACAAACACACAACACACTCACACATACCTCTTCTTGATTTCTGAGAGAGAGAAGTTCAAATTTTCATTCTTTTTTCTTGTTGAGTTAAGGCCACTGAGAATGTTTACAAAGGTAAGCTCATTGCAGTTCTAGTGAGTTGGCCCTTTTCTTTTATTGAAAATAAGGCAACATACAGGTGTAATGCTGTTCATACCATCATCGCCACTCAGATATTTTTAAAGTCATGCAACATAAATCATAGCATGCACATTAAAAAAAAATGTTAGTCAAACTATTTTAAACTATTGTGCTATTAAGAATGAAGTGAACCCATTCTTTCCTAAATGTTTCTCAAAGGAAGGCACTGAACTTATGACTAAAGAAACCTCAGTATGGTTTCGTGTGGATTCTCATATGGGTTAGTAGAGGCACTATACAGTTTTAAAAACACACTGGCAAACAGACATTTGTAATTAAAAGCTAGATAACATTGAACAAACCCATTAATCTTTAGAACAGGGAATTCCATGGTAGCAACTTGGTCTGATAGGAGATAGTCTCCTTATAACTTGCTCACTCCCTTATTAACTTAATGAGCAAAGATCCAAATCAAATCATGACATTTCTTTCCAGTAGGCAAGGATCAGGATTTTGATTGCAGTAAAAGATGATAGGGCAGATTCTAAGTGTGATAAGTGTTAACATAAGTACAAAGAGTACTTTGTTTGAAGTTCTCTGTGAGGTAATTTTAATAGATACATTAAATCTATAAATTCTAGATTTCATTCATTATACACTATGCTAAGGAAAATGAAAGTACCATATTGTGATTATACATAAATTTAAAGGATGGGTTACATCTGTTATTAGGCATCTCTGTTTACTACTATAGAATATGACGATGTTTGTATATGAGGGGGCTTCAAAACGTTCATGGGGAAATGCCATTATTTTTTCATTCCATTTTCCATGAACTTCTTGATGCACCCTCATATATATATATATATGCTATGTATAATGTATACATAATATGTATACACACATTTGTAGCTTGTTGTTAAGTGCTTATCAAGTCAGTTCTGACTCAGTAACCCTGTACAGGGTTTCTGAGGAGCTACCAACCTTGCAGTTGAAACCAACCTTGTTGTCCAACCTTGCAGTTGAAACCAACCTTGCTGTCCAACCTTGCAGTTGAAACCAACCCTGCTGTCCAGTACCTTATCCCACAGCACCACTCCAGGACTCTACACATCTCTATAGATGGAGAAACAATTTTCTAAACTGTGTGTGGCTGACCCTGTTACTCTCCTATCCATTTCTCATGCCCAGTCCCTTGGCTTTCCAACTAAAGAAGCTATGAGAGCTACTACCTGTGTGTTTCCCCAGGTGTCCTTGCAGTAGAGTTGGTATTGTGACATCATTCTGCCAATGAGACAAAAAGCAGAAGTCAGCTGGGATGGTTTCTAAGAAAGTTTTTGCTTTTCTCGTCAGGGAAGTTTGTTTCAATTACTACTGCTGTATCACAAACTATCCAAAAGTTAGTTGCATAAGACAATCATTTTATTATTCTCTTGGATCCTGTAGGTCAGGAATTTAGACAGGACACACAGGGATGAATGGCTTGCTTCTTGTTCCATATGTCTGGGGCCTCAGCCAACATACTACTCTGCGGGTGATTCAAACAGCTGGGGGCCATTGTCATTTAGAGCAGACCTTTTTCCGATGGTGAGGATGGTCTTCATCTCTGCTGTTCAGTAGGATAGCCATTAGTCACATGTGACTATTGAGCACTTGAAATGTGGCCAGTGTGGCTGTTAAATTTTATTTAACCTTAATAATTAAATTTCAATTTAAATAGCTACATGTGGTCAGAAGCTCTTGACTTGGACAGTGTGAACTTGAAGGCTTCTTCACTCCCTTGTCTAGCACTTGGGCTGGGATGACTTGAAGGCTGGGCTCTTGTGGCACTGCTAACTGAAAGAGCTACACCTAGCCTCCATGCATATGACGTGGCTTCTTACAGCCTAACAGCGGTTCTGAGAGGAAGTGTCCCAGGAGGGATTTCTGGACATTGCATGGCCTTTATTACCCATCCTCAGAAGTCATTTTATTGGCTGAAATAGTTACAAGCCAATGCAAATACAAGGGGAGGGAACCTAGACACTCCTCCTCCCCCACCTCTTAAGGAAGAATGTCAAAACTTGGGATCCTTATTAAAACTTGCCCCGGGACACTTTCACCTTATTCCTGCTTTGAACACAGATCTGATAGCAGGAGCTACAACAAGTCTTCTTATAACTGCGAAGAAAAGGCAAGATAATTGCAGAAATAGGGACCCTGATTTAGTAACTGCCTAGGTTTGGACCTCTTTTTGAGGGAGGGAAAAAAGCTCACTTATTAAGCCACATTAAGTTGGGTGCTCAATAACTTGGAGCTAAAATTATTTCCAACAAAAACTCCAATTTAACATCTTTTGAGGAAACCTGGAATTGATTCTTGAAAGATCTGAAAATAATTTTTTCTTTATAGTTAAAAATATCATGCTTATTTCTCATTATAAAACTTAGAAATGCTCATTGTAGAAAAGTTAGGCCACAGAACTAAAGATGAAAATAGCAACCACCTTTAATCTCACCAAGCAGTGATAGCTACTACTGCAAACAGTGTTCCGTGCCGTCCACTTGGCGTTATAGTGTTCCTCTTTCCCTGACGTTAAGTCTCTGCCTCTATCATCATTATTGCATCAATACTGCATACTGTATTCCATTTTATGGATTCAGAATAATTGAATCATTGCTGGGAATTTAAGTTGTTAAGAATGTTTCTGTATTAAAAACAATTATATTTACT